TCAAATTAAGGCTAAATATACTTAATTTAAGCCATTTTTTACTTATTTCTGGATTGTTTTTGCAGTGTATTTATTGGATTTTATGAATATTGCAAAGAATAATTATGTTTGACACATTTTAAACCAGAAATCCTCTCTGCCAAAAGAGCATGACTTCTCCAGTTAAGACTGAGAGTGGATAAGAAAGTGGAGTTACCCTGCGAGCGATGCGCGGGTTCTCTGGGTTATCCCGAACAGTGATGGTTAGTATGTACTCCGCCACCCGCTCTCTGTCCAGCGGCCTGTTCACCTGAACGACTCCGGTCTGAGGGGGACAGAAACGAATCAGAGCGACAAGCTTAAAGGACATTTCACTACACACCAACTCAGGAGGCTTTATAGAAAGAAAAAGCACAGAAACAGCTTATATTATATTATAAAGAACAAAAAAATAAATAAGGTAAATATTACAAAGTCAAATAAATAAAGAAGCTAATTAAAAGAGTTATATACATTTATGTCTCACTGTATAATTTAATTTCTACTTACATTTATTTGTTTGTTGCATTTTTGGTGTTAATTAATTGTATGCTTATTTCTTTATTGAGCATTTATTTATTTCTGTATTTATTTTTAAATATGGCAGAGTTGGTCCTCCATAAACAGGTACCTTAAGTTCTTAGGATTGTTTAGACAAAAAGGCCCAATCTACTTCTGACTTGCTGGAAGTCACACTGTTCCTGCAGGAGCATTTAAATCAGCATGGGATGCTTTATATCAATAAAATAATGCATCTGAAATGCATTCCTGCTGGATTGGCATTGACTTAAAGAACTGCCCGCCGGTACCTTCTCAAAATCCTACATCCACAAGGAGTACAGCTGAGGCTTCAGCATCATTTAAAACAACCAGGTCCCAACTTTTATTTTCTTTTATTTTATTTTTTAATCTAAACTTTATGTGGCATGTCGATTCAAATGAAAAACTAAAAACATACGGAATCTGTTTTAATGGAGCTGTTCACGGATTTTCACATTTGGTCATAAGGCTGCATGCTCTCTCCACTAATACTCAGACATGTTCACAAGTCATTTTTTGCAAGTCCAAGTCAACTCTCAAGTCTAGAGTAGCAATAATGTTGCAATATTAAATTAATCGCACAATAAATTCTAATGACATGATTAATAAAAATAAGTTCAATAACTTGTTTGTTTCTCCTTGTGCTTTCATCTCCGTCACTGAGACGGTATAGCTTAAAGGTCGCTATTATATCTATGGAATGATCATTATCTTGAACTGGTAAGTGAAAAATACATGCTTATATGTCACGTAGCGTTGCGTCAGTGACGTCAGTGCTACATGACTGTTTGACAGCGGCGATCAGTCAAGTTAGTAAAACAAAAAACACTTTAAAAATAAAATATTGTTCACAAGTCGGAAATCGCGAGTCTCGGTCGAGTCTGAAGTCATTAAATATGAGACTTAAGTGAAACTCGAGTACGAGTCACAAACTCGAGTCCCCACCTCTGCTAATAGTAATCCCAGCGTTATATCTGCGTACTTTGTTGATGAAGCGAAAAACAGGGGTGGAGCTCCAACGCCTATCAGGTCAGACCTCGGTACAGAGAACTGTTCTACGGAAGAGGATTAGGGCCACTGAAGAAAAAAAAAAAAAATTCTGACTTTAATCTCAGAATTCTGAGAAAAAAGTCAGAATTCTGAATTTTTTCCCATGTTAAACTGAAATAAAAAAAAAAAATTTCAGTGGCCCTAATCCTCTTCCGTACTGTTCAGTGGAACAGATGCAGATATTTTTAAGAAGTAGTCATGAAGACCAGTTTACTGAGAGATGCTTCATTATTGGCTCAAGTAATCATAAACAAATATATAGAAAAGATCTCATAATTACGAGATCTTATCTAGATTCTAACATAATTTGATAAAATGCAGGTGACACGTCCCCCCTAAAAAATTACGTCAATGCATAGAAATTGATTTTTTTTACAAACAGCTGAGAGGCTCTATTTGTCTGAGGTGTCTAATTACAGGAAGAGCTTAACTGACTATTATGGGAACTTTCAGTGTAATTGTATGAAAACCAAGTACCGGTAGTCTGCGACATGGAAATGTCCATGTTTATGTAAGAGCAGTTGAAATAGTGATTGCTAACAAGTGCAACTTTCTGTTCTTTTAACAAGTGGTTACAGAATTAGGGCGGATTAGGAAATATCTGTGCACATTCCTTTAATGTAAGCTGCTGTTAAAGACGTTGCATGTTTCTTTTTCCTAGTATCTCAATTGGTGTTTCTGAACAACTTGAACCTCCAAAAGCATTTA